CAACCTAGTAGCCATGGCCTCCAACCCAGTAGCGATGGGCCTCAACCTACTAGCGATGGCCTGCAACCTAGTAGCTTCTAGCTACTAGTAGTAGTGTCTTCGAGTGTCAGGTGAATGATCTACGGCATCGGCTGATTGAGACCAACTACGAGAGCGAGGACGCTCTTTTTCCAAGATGTGTCCTGCATGACTCAGATCATGACACATTTAGGTTAATCTATTTCTTTAAAACAACATGTTTCCTTTTTGGCAAGTCCGCAAGATCATGCAAGGGATGTTCAGGGGCACATTAGCCCAGCCATAGAAATTGCTCGGGGTGCTGGGAGTTGTCCCGAAGTAGGAAGGAACGCATGCGCAAAATTCACTGTCCTGTTCTGCAAATTATACTGTAGGTTGTAACTATTTGACCTACAGAGTGACACCAAATCTATTCAAAACTTCAGTTAATACAACTGTTTTTTTCATGTGGTGCTTGCTGGAGGACCGTCTGCGAAATTGGTCCAGCTGCAAGATGCAGGCAGAGGAAGCAATCCAGAGATTGGACAAGCAGACAAGGTGAGGTTTGCCTTGGCGCTGAACCGGACATATTCAAATAAATGGCGCTGGTTTGGAACAGCAGGTACAAGTAGGGGCTTGGCAAAGTGCAGGTGTTGCAAATCCGTCGATGTTCATGTGTCAGTTCCGACATGTCACAACAAGGGTCAGTTGCAGATGAGAAGGGGCTTGAATGATGTGACGGCCTGCTGAACTCTGCAACAGGACACTGAACGCAGTTCTGGAGCGTGAGGCAGAATTACAGGAAGACTATGCCTCCTGGCAGAGAAAGGCATGCTTTCATTCATGTGGAGTCTCTCCAAATCTTTGACTTCAAGTTGTGCAATCATCCTTCCCATCCGAGTTAGTCTGGATACATTGAAACAGTTCCCTTGTGTATACAGGTTTCTCTATAGAATCAGGTATCCTAGATGCCGGAAAACAACGGACGAATAGAACTGGCTTGAATGGCTTAAACATATCCCAAGAATGTCCCCAGGAGTAGAACGTCTCTCAAATGACGCCCGCCATGCTTTTTGTTACTTAGTTTTTGTATATTTTTCATTGTGCCGTCTAAGCAGCCCAGGATGACCTCTTTGCTCGGCATGTTCGTGCCTCGAAGATGATGATCTACAAAGCAAGGCAAGGCCTACGAGATCGCCTCTTCTTGCAGAACAAGAAAGAGAATCTCTTCTATTCCTTTCAGGCTCATGTGGCGTGTGTGGTATTTTCAAACGAAGCATCTTGTTTGGAGGGCATTGGTGCCCTGCTGTTTCCTCATAAGATAGGCCTGTCGACGCTCGCTGTGCTTGGGGTCTCAACACGAAACACAGAGTTGACCTAGGAAATGCAACCTCACATCTTTAACGAAAGAGTGATAGACTTGATGGATCTTGATGGACCTTCTGCAGCTTCATCATGCTCTACGCAGTTTCGCTTGCATACTGGTTTCTTGCCGGCTCCGCCAGGGGTTTATGTACATCCTGCAACAGGAAAAGGAAGAACGAATCAGACGAGAACAGGAGGAGCCGAAGAGTTAAGCTGGTTCACCCAAACTACGTCCCAAATCTCATTTTGATTTTAATCATGAAGTTTGTAAGTTAGTTAGGTTCCTTAAAAGACACCATTCGGAACCATTCGGAGCCAGGTTCCATTCAGAACCCTAGGAACCTCAATGGCTCATGTGAAAGGGGCCAAACCGAACAGGGGGAGCAACAGAACCTTGAAGCCTGTGCGGAGAGTGCGTCCGAGGTAGTAGCTACCGGCAGTACCCACGGTGGTAGTTAGGTCTTAAAGAAAAAACATAAGAAATGGAACATGTTGATTCAATAAACAGTATTTGGAACATGTTTTTGAATATGTTTGGAACCCCACTGCACCAGACTTGGGTAGACCTCACCAGCCTTGAGTCCAGGAGATGCGAGACAGTGTGGAGTTTGCACTGCGCAACGAGGCTGGGTGAGCAAGAAAGTTGAAGTGGAGAAGTAGCGAACATCAAAACATCCATGGCATTGCTCCAAATTTCTTTACATTGTTTTTGTTGCACATCGAATCCTTAAGCAATTCAATGAATCCGGAACGAGGTGCGATTCTTACTGAACGAGAACCTCCGCTGCAACGATGCGGTGAAGCTCGTGGCGACCGAAGCGAGTCGTTTGAAGTCCGACCGCCGTGCGCTGGCGAAGCGTTTGCTTTACAGCTCCTTGGCGCCCAATGGGACCACCGCATGCGCCAACGGCCTGCGGTGCATTTTTCGTTTTCCGAGCATGTCATCCTCTATCGTTGATGACTATGAAAGGACTGTCTTTATGTTTCCAAAGCACCGAGATAGAAGGCGCTTCGCACGTACTTTCTGCAATCGCACTATGTCTCACATCTCCAGGGCAACGGCCATATGAGCGTCTGGAATATTTGCTCTGGATCTGGGAGCTGTGGCAACCATTGCGTGGTGCCTTGCGCCTTGAGAAGCATCTGGACCAAACACAGGCAGCGCTGCGTTGTTTTACTTTTGACGGCATTTCAATGAAAGGCACCGTTTGCTGAAGACCCAAAGAAAAAGGGTGACTGGTTGCAGAGATTCTTGTAGCAAAAACGGCAGACTGCAGGCAGGTCTTGCAAGCTTCAAATACCACAGCAGGAAACGAAGGGATTCTATCCACAGATGATACCCATTCTGAGTGTGCTTCAATTGTTGGACGCACACCTGAATGATTGCAGTTGAAGGAGGATAACAGACCGGACCCATTGTAGATGCAATAAAGACAAGAGAACGATCTTGATCTTGCTTCGTTTGTTTGTACTGACAAAACCAACATGGAGCTAGACAGCTGAACGGCCTGAAAGAAGTACGAAGTGCCAGGCATCATTGGCTGCGGTGAACCAGCAACTGACATGGAGCTCTCGGCAAATGGTGTCTTGGTAGGAGCAAGGACGCTACTAGGGGCTCAAGAAGCTACTAGGGGCTCCTGGCATCGCTACTAGTAGCAAGAAGCTAGTTGGGGAACAGTTTGTGCGGACTTCGCTGCTCGGAATGGACCGGATGCCCAGAATAAAGTCAGTCGATGCTTTGATGTGTGAGGTGCCTTTGATGAACTTCATGGATCAGCTCAGGCCGGTGTTGCTCTCTTGATCGTTCAGAGTTCTAGGGATACACGTGTATTCCTTTTTGCATGATGGAGTTCTTACTTACTATTTTTAAGACACCAGTGAAGCTTGGATCCGGCATACTGCGCGGGTCATTCAAAATGGCTCTCAGGATGGAAGTCCTGAAGGAACAGCTGGAAGGGGATTTGATGCGTCGCGAGCTGGTTGCTGCCAGCGCGCGACAGTGGCTTGATTGCAAGAGGTCCCCACGTGGTTAGAAAACCCAAGCTGATCCAAACCCACACCGTGCTTGGTGGGATGACCAACTGCTGCCACCCATGTGCAGGTTCGCTGCACTCACAGAACGCCTACGGCTGCAGCGTTCGCAGGCCGGCAAGTGATGTATGTATATTTGAAGTGACAGGTGTTGTGGCATTTCAATTTTGCACAAAGCCTGTGCCAGTTTACTCCAGACAGGCCCCAGATGGTCCAATAAGATATCTGAGATAGGACTTGTGGAAGGTGGTGAAACATGATAAAACAGGCACTCGTCCTCATGGGCTCGGCTAGGCTGTATCTCTATGATTTTTCTGTCCAAAGGCTCAGAACCTCGGTCTCGTGGATTCTTTCGCATCATGACTTAGGATTTCAGATTTAAAGGTATTTCCGCTAACCGTGAAATGGTATGGAACACCTGGGGCACAAAATGAGACGAATACATGACTGATTACTGATGCTGAATGCCTGCGAAGGCCTTGTCCGCAGGATTCAACAGATGGCATGACGCGTGGTGCAACTCAAAACATTAGCTGGAGTTCAATGGCTCTTTTGTTGCGTACAGTTTGTACAGTCATGCAAACAGTCTAACAATTTCTTCCATTCCAGGAACGAAGAATAGATGGGCCCACTTTCAATCCTGGGATCTTTCGGGCAGGGTGGAGGGGTTCCTCAGATGCTCCAGGAGATGGAGATCTTGGTGCGTTTACGGGAGCTGGAGAACGAGTCGAAGGACGAGCGTATCGCGGTCTTGGAACGCGAGATCGCGGAGGACAAACACATCCACGCGCTGAAGGCTAGCATGGGAGACTGCCTGAATGCTTGGTTGAGGAACTTGATTGAAGGCTCTGGAACTTTGCTTCTTTCAATCAGTGTTGTTGAAGGTTCTTTAGTGAGAAACTCTCAAAGAATTCAACAAGACACATGGGAAAAGTAGCCAATACCGCAGGCAGAATATGGTTGGAATTGGCTATCCGAGTATCCATGTGGTTCACACGTTGGGGAAGCTTTGATCACACACCATGCATGATCTCTATGTCCCAGGGCATGATCGTTGACTTGGAGTGCAACCTACGGCGGGCTTTGGATCGCCGGAAGCCGCGGTCCTTTGTGGTGCCACCGGGGACCGCGGGGCCAAAGTGCGTGAGCTGTGGGAGAGAGACGTCCTTCCGCGCTTGGAGCCTTTTGCTGAATGGGAAGAGACCGAAGGCGATAAAAATGGAAACACCATTTTGTTTCTTGGAGTGCCTGCTTTTGGACAGTCAAGAGGGTATGCTGGAGGTTGATACAGCTTAGATTGGAATTGAGGATTGCAAAACCCCACAGCCCATGAGTTCATGAACTTAGACATCTTAGACCCCATAGTTTCATATAGTTTCCCAGTTGAACCTCTCAGCCACATGTCTTTAAGCCCAAGGAACACACGGATCCAGGGGATCCCAACGTTCACGACACCTGCCTACGATCCCCCAGAGAAGCTGCTCCAACTCAGTTGTGGAGCCCCTAGTAGTGTCCTTGCTCCTAGTAGCGATGCCCTTTGTTCCTAGCAGCTTTGTTCCTAGTAGTAAGGCCAGGAGCCCCCAGTAGCGTCCTTGCCCCAGGTAAGGTTGTTGAACTTGAGATGAGGTTGTTGTCCAACTCATGCTGGAAATCACCCAGACTTCCCCCGCAGCCTATATCTTGGTTGGTCGGGTTTGTGTCCAGTTCATAATTCACCAAAACAACAGCCCACACCAGGTGACCCACACCGAGCCATTCGGCCTAAGGAAACTTCCGCCCGATGGCCTCACACGGAGCGCTTCAGAGGTGCCAACATGGCGTGGGACTTGTTGGGGACAACATGTTGGTTGTGTGCACTCTTGTGTGCATTTGGAAGCACTGGAGATCAAGCAGTTCATGGACGGGGACCTTCGTGCAAGACTCGCGGCTCACAAACCAAAAGATTGTTTTCGACAACCCCCTGTGCATGAACCTCTTTGCTAATACACACACACACACCACCGCTTGGGACTTGAGCCAAGAGTCTTAAGCGGGTGATGTTTAAATGGCTTGGCCACATTGGCGATCACACATGTATGGAAGATTCACAAGTAGAAGTGTTCATGTATGTATACACAAGACAGAAATAGACAGAATTAATGTATGATATGAATATGTGAAGCGTTGAGTGTGGTGCAGTGTAGCGTGGTGCTGTGCAATGTATTGTGAGCTCGAAATCCCACCCAGTGTGCCTTTTTCCTTTGAACAAAAATGCCTTCAAGGATTCGACTCTCGGTGCTCTCACCGAATGAACTGGACAGACTCCGCCTTCTCGAGACGAATTTCCAAGCTTGAAGAAAACACAAAAGGAGGGCCAGGCTCAAGCCAATTTACGTTTGCTGTTTGCTCTTCTCCTTGAAATATTCAGCACGCATTTTGTCCATACTTCAGCCCGTTTTGGCATGAAGACGTTGGAACTGATTCCATGGGTTCGTTGGACCATCATTGACCTTGCCATCACTCGCTGAAGATGTAGACCTGCCCATAGAGCCCGGCTGACGCCGAATAGGCTTGGACAAAGACCTCCTCCTTGTCATGGTGTGCTTTTGGCTGCGGGCTCTCGAGTGCTGTTGTGGTTCTTCGCTGCCCGCGCTTGGCCAGCTGAAGCCATTGAATCTTCAACCTCTGTTTCTTCTGTTGTGGTTGCACACCCTTCATCACGTGGTGTGCTTCGCTGCTTGGAACCTCCCATGCTCGTGCCCGCCTTGACCGTAAGGGTGTATACTTGAACCCCTTCATCGCTTTCATTTGAACCTTCTTGGTCCTGTGGCTCACAGGCAACTTCATGCAATCTCCGCAGACCGCATCGAAGAGGAAGGAATGCAGATTGCCCCAACAAGAACCAGCACTCTACTTTCACCTCAGTCACCCAAGAAGCCTGCGAAGCTCTGGCCCAGAAGAGGCTTTGTCATGCCATCCCAACCAGAAATTCTTCCTCCAGCTTCTATTGTTGTTGGTCATTTCATTTTCGTGATCATCCTGTAGGAGCATCTCTTCCTCCACCACCTTGTTCATGATCGCCTGGGTCAAGACTTCCATGTAGCCGCCCTGTTCTGGGATCGTGACACCTCAACCGTTTGGGACGTGACCGACTGAACGTAGTAACTGGTGGCCATCAAAGAAGACTGAAGCGCCGGGCCCAAAACGATCACCTCGTCACGCACTTGGCATGACTTCTTCAAGGCGTAAGCCTTTGCCCGTTGCCCAAACTTCAAAACTTGACCACCACTGCGCGGACATGCTTTTTTACCACACCCAATTCGCACTGCGTCCTGCCATTTGACTTGCAGGAATCTCCTATTGTCAGGCTGGTCACAATCCGATGATGGTTGCGAACTCCCCCACCACCAGCCCCAGGCGCAGGCGCATTCGCAGCTCACCATTGCCCTTGTTTTTTCCTGGGGGGGGCTTCAATTGCGCTCGGATTTGCGATGATCTTTTCCACTGTAGATCCGACAGCGAGAAGCTTTGTCTTCAATCCGTCCCAGGCATGGGGCCGTTTGCAATCCTTGCCAGCCTTCCTAGCCACTTGCCCATGCCTTCGTCGCCAGCCACGCGACTGGTGGGTACGGATTTGCCAGACCCCATTGTGATGCGGTTGTTGAGAACAATCAACGCCCTGCTGATGCCTGCTTTTGGCCAGACGAAATGCCGCAACAGCGTCCAAGGAGGCGATCTGGATCACCGCCAGGGCCAAAGCCTTCAGCAGCGCGCTGTCCGGTTTCTTGAGCCCGTAAAAACTGCGGAACGCAGAGAGGCTGCCCAGACTCAGTGACCCCTGTGGCCAAGGCTGTCAGCTTGGCCGGTACAGCTGTCAAAGTGAGGTCGCGATCAATGATCAGGGCCTGGTGGTTCACGCCCCGTTGTTCGGCGCGTTGATAGCGAGCATCAAGCAACTCACCCGGAAGCCGAGGTGCAATCTGGGCCCGCCCTCCATCGCTCCGGGCCACTCCGCGCGCTCATCTCGAGCATCTCGCGGCGTCGTAACTTTCCCTTCTTTCACGTGGCAGCCACTGTTGGTCGCGGTGACGACGACGATGGGCTTCCAGCGTTTCATAGCCCGGAGATTACTGACGCAGGAGGAAAAGTTGCGGCGTAGGACGAACGTCCGGTGCTGGCCCATGTTGAGGTGGAGAGTTAGAAGGAACTTGTGTACCATTTGGGGTGTAACGCGCTGCAACATGCTCTGCAGAGAGAGCCATGGAGTTTGTGGTGGGCCCCTTTTTGGAAACAACGAAGATCACCGCTACGAAGACAAGCATGTTGACTCTTTGCTACATGACGTTCCCGATCTCCTCCAGCAGTTGAGCGTTTTGCTCTCTGTGACCATCTCAGCTTCTAGGGCTCGCTGCAGTCCATCCTGCTGCTCGATTCGGCGGGATAGGACCTCTGGCTTGTTTGGTGGATGAACACCCGATTCAGATATTCAGTTTCTTCCCTCCGCACTGCCCACGGCCATCCTCAGCCGTTCGGCCAGGGACAAAAACCCTGCCACCAATGCTTAGGGACGAAACGTCGGTCTTCATGTGGAACGGGAAGATCCGGCCTCGTGTGCCCTCCTCTTTCAGACGGTCCGGCCACCATGGATTGAGGGGGGTAGGGGGGTAATGATCTTTCTCGGTCCCCCATGGCAAAACGCTTGGGTTCATAACCCTTGAAATCCAACCCAGCGTGCCTTTTTCCTTTGAACAAAAATGCCTTCAAGGATTCGACTCTCGGCCGAACGAACTGGACAGAGTGAGAGTTGGATTCTATACAAGAAGGACATACGGTATTTGGATTACATCCACCAAAGTCACACTGCATTCTCCAAACATACCATACACACACATATACTGTATACTGCTATACCACACAGCGCGCAATGATATGTCTAAGCTTGGGACACGGTGAATCCACACACGCACATGCATGTATACGCCTCGAGGGCGCACGGATGCCTTTCTGCAAAATGCCAGGTGGACTTGTCTCGGAGCGATCGCATGGTCTCCCCAAAGGTGGAGCGAAGTCCCAGGCAAGGGGGAAAAATTTCAAGACTGACAGCGTTGGTGGAAGAACATTTGGCTGCAAACCCAATGCGAAGCGATGGCTTCCAACCCAATGGTAATAGCCTCCAACCTAATAGCTTATGGCCTCCAACCTAATAGCGATGGCGTCCAACCTTGTGAAGGAGACGCGAGTTAACGAAGCATGCTAATCATGGTACGCTTGCACTTTATTGTAGGACGGACAGCCTAGCTCTGACAGCGAGTTTCTTTTGTTCCTGGACGCTGTGGCAGCTGCTGTGCCTGTACTAACCTTGAGAAGACCAAGCCTTGTTCTGCAGGACCCGCGCAGCCTGGAGCGACGAAGAAAAGGAATCCAAGTTTGTGGCAGTCTGGAGATGAGCGGCGTTGATTTGTTTTTTTGGGTGTGGAGACAACGTGTCTCAACATCGTTTGTTGGATTCTTCCAGGGGCCAAAGTTCTCCTTCAGCATCGGTTCCAGGGGGTGCATAGATCTTCATAAACCGTTTTTGGTTTCTTTTGTTTTTGCTCACTCCAGTGTCATCAATTGTGCCAGTCTCACTTTGTACGAAGCGTTTCACCAGTAGTCTCATTTGAAGCCTTGGCTCAGGGCACCCGGTTTCCAGGTCGTACGGAGACCGAAAGAGGTTGGATTGGGCTGGACCCAAGGTGGCTGGTGTCCATCTACGCTGGATTCGTTGTGTCCTCACATTTCATCCAGTTCTTTCAGCTGCTTTTGCATTCCTTGAACTGGGACATTTGAAGATATCCGATGTAGGGTGCTGCAAGAGGGTGCTCAGAGTGCTTCTGTGGGGCTGTGACACGCAGATTCTGCTTGTACAGAGATCCAAGATCACACAGCAGATGGCGAATCAGTGCAAGTACCAAAGAAAACTGTTGAAGTCAAAGCCTCGATGCATTGTTCATGTCCTAGTCAGTCTTGTTTCGATTGGAACTCGTTTTATTTCGTTGTTTGTCATACCGAGTCCAGCATGCAACGAGCCTTTTCGGAATGCTTGGGCTGCCATCCTTATATAATGGGATTTCTTCAGGGCACCTCAAAGGGAGTTAAGACAATCTTTTTGCACAGCGGGTTCAAATAGCAAAGGAATTAAACACAAACTAGGTTTGATGACACTTCGGCCGCTGCCATCTCGGTTGCAGCTTTAGCTTTGAGGCCAGCAGCTTTGCACATTGCTTCAGGCCAGATAAAACATGGCACGCAGCTCCAATCTGCTTGTGCTGGCTGTGGTGGCATGCGCCACCTACATGCTGCTGCCCAGCGAGAGCTTCGTGGCTCCCCAGGTGTTGCGTGGCAACGCGCAGCAGGAGACTGGAGCCTTGGCACAGGCCCCAAGCTTCCAGACTGAGGGCCGCTCTGTGCAGGTGAGCATGGCCGCAACAGGTGGCGAACCCCAGAGGCTGAACTTGGTCTTCATTGGCCTTCTCGCAGGCACCGCGGCCATCGGCATCCTCGCTGTCTTCTTCTACGGCTCCTACTCCGGCGCAGGCAGCGGCCTCTGAGAGCCTGGCTTTTTTACGCAAAGGTAGGCTTTGGTAGTTTCGGTTGAGAAAGTTGACAAAGGCCTCTGGAATAAGCATGCGGAGATTGCGGTCGAAGCATATCAATCAGACTGCGCAGTCTGCGACTGTCATGATTTGGTGACAGCTTAGCATTTTATTGATGTTTGTTTGCGGAAGACAGTGGTGGTGTTGGATTCTAGTTTCCAGGTTTGTAGATGCAAGAAGCCACTGCTGACTTGAGTTGCTGTTAATTTCCAAGTCACTGATGAAGTGCACTGGAATAGACACACTGGAATACAGATGTGCGGTTGTGTGTCATTGAGTCATGCCAGCTGGGATTCGCATGGTCATCAGACTGAGAGATATATCAGATATACATTATGATATCATCATTTATATATACATAAGTATATATACATAGTGCATTGGGCCATACTGGAACCTGTTCGTTTTGGCAAAGTTTCAGGTGATTTTTTGCTAGTTGATCTTGCTTCAGCATCAGCAGGCTCAGAGCCCGAAGCATCAGCTAGCACCACACG